CAGCTACTGTTAGAAAATATTCTGTTCTCATTCTGCTCCATGTGCAAGAGTCTCATATCAATTTATACTTCAGAATGAGGACATGAAAATTCAGCAAGAAGTCCTAAGTCAGGAGAAAGTTTTTTGCAGTTTCAGACAATATAAATAAAAAAATCTTTTGAAAAACTTGTACAGGCTTCAGGCCCCTGTCTTTTGTTGTCAGCATTATTCAAGGTTGCAAGGTTAAGAGCTCTAAAATCAGAGTTGATAAAAATTGCTCCCTAGTTTTATTTAGCAATGACAAATTTTGGAAACAAAGCTTTAGCAAAAATACACAATTCTTTCTTTTTCCATTCTCTCACCCCCAACTTTTATTCCAAGATCATCGATAGCAATCTGATCAATAAGTAGATCTTAGTCTTATAATCATTTCATTTGGCAATTATTTTTATGTAGTTTAGTAAGGGTAAAAGTCTACCGTAAAAAGAGATTTCTGTACTACTGACCTTTAATGTTCAGTTTATCTGCCATGCTTCTAGAAGAGTTTAAGAAACTATAGTAGGAATATGAGTTGCTATCCCAGTTCCATTACTGAGAGAGGGTAATCAGATAAACCCTAAATATAGGAATTCATTATTATTTTTTTCAATGATCAGAAAAATTATATAAAACCTAGAAATTAACATAAAACATTCTTCTAGTGAAAAAACTCTGATAGGAAACAGTTTTGTTTTCCATTTATGATAGTTATGCAGTGTTAGCAGTTACTGGAATTTTATTAAGTCCTAATAGAGCACATAATGTCTACTACATATTAGTTTTTCTGTTTCTCATTGTATGGTTATAGAAGTTACAAATAATTAAGTGCATATAGCATGGTTCAGCAAGCATTTTGGACCAGTAAACATAAGTGAAGATTTGAGAATCTGCTATGCCCATTCTCTCTAAAGGACTGCTGTGAGGGAGAGGTTGGCTCAGAGGTGGTATTCAGTAGGTTCTGACCAGTTCTGGAGAACCGGTAGAAGAAATTTTGAGTAGTTTGGAGAACCAGAAAATACCACCTCTGACTAGAGATTTTACAGTATCCCTCCTCTGCCATGCCCACCAAGCCACGCCCACAGAACTGGTAGTAAAAAAAAACCATCTATGGTGTGCATGTCCTATTAAAATTATATATTTGAAGGGCAAACTGTGAACATGTTCCATCCCATCCTCTATATCAGCGGTGGCTAACCTTTTCCACATCATGTGCTGAAAATGCAATGTGTGCATGACCCCCCCTGCCCCCTACACATGCACGCTTGAACCCCTGAATGTGCATTGTGCATCTCTGCACATGTGCATGCAACCTCCCTGTGCCATGCTTCTCTGCGCATACGTACGCAGCAGACACCTGACAATCAGCTGGCTGGGAGGGGGCACATATACATGTGCAATGAGGGTCTTCCAGGTGACCTCTCATGTGCCGGCAGAAATGGTTCTGCATGCCACACTTCTGGCACGCGTGCCATAGGTTTGCCATCACGGCTCTATATACTTCCAAAGAGAACACTAGGCTACAGCCCATACTTGGGGTATATTTTCTAAGAATAATTTACAGTCACACTGGTACCCACAAATATCACATTGCCTACCTCTGCTATAGCAGAGTGAACTTTGAACCCAAGACCAAGAACATCAACACTAAATGAAGAGAGTTATTTCCAAATCAATTTTTCTAGAGGAATTTTACCAAACAAGTGCTGTGCGTTGTAATTTCTTCAGAGTTAGAAAGAACACAAAAACCAACTAGAAAATGTAATATTTAAAAAAGACACCTAAAATATATAGATTCAACATAATGTCAGATGTTGAGCTGCATGCAAAAGTTTAAGCATTCTAGGTCAAACTGTATGTTTCAATCGAATCCTTACATGAACAAAACCTAGAACAACTTCTGTGTAATATGAAGTTAAGCACCTCTGTGTTGTATATCCTCTCTTCATTTAGCAACCAACTTCTATTGCAGTGACCAAGTTGTTTGGTGGGTGACTGGTTGCAAGGTGCTTAGAGAAGACTCATTCTAAGTCCCCCATAACTATTGATGGGCCTGCCTGATGATGACAATTAATGAAGTATTTATAATCATGTTTGGATTTCTGCAATGGAGAATGTGATTAATTGCTTGTAGTTCCTGCAAGAGCTGATCCAAGGCTGGAACAAAAGAAGCTGGTGAGGTCAGCAGAAAAAAATGGGGGATGGGTGCCATAGTTAGCCAAGAATGGAGGTATATTGTGTATTATTATAAGCAAATTTAGCCTGTACTAGGTCTGCCCGGTTGTCTTGCTGGTAGTTAATAAAACACCTGAGATGTTGCTTCAGAATCCCATTCACCTATTCTGTCTGACACTAGATGATACTTGGAAGACTTGGAGCCCTAGACTTTCGAAAAACTTACCAAAACTTAGCAGTGAATTGTGGGCCACAATCTGAAACCAAGTGCTCCGTTAACCATGTATAACCATGATAACGCTATGAAAATAGCCAAGTGGTGTCTTTGGCTGTAGGCAGACCTGGAGAAGCTATGCAGTGAGTCATCTTAGTTAAAGTGTTTGTCACTGCTAAGATTGTCATGTTACCTTTTGACTTTGATATAAAATTCTAGGACACAGTGGCCCATGGATGTGTTGGGTCATATCCCAGTGATTTGCCTAATAACATACCAACTTACATTATCTTGGATTCATAGATACTAAAAATCTTCACAAATTAGAGTCTTGAAGAAACCAAAGTGGCCTGCAGTTGGGCTATCATGGCATAATAGCACCCTTCTTTTAGTTCTCGATTGTGGTAATTCATGGCCCAAAGGTGTTTGGGGGATTGGCAAAAAAATAGCCTGAAACTGAAGGCTGAATTCAGCTATGTTGTCCAGTAGGGGGCTGTGGTGCATTAGCAACCATGTGGCCCAATTAGCAGTCTCCTGACAAGCTGAATGAATGAATTCTTTATTGGCCAAGTGTGATTAGGCACACAAGGAATTTGTCTTGGTGCATATGCTCAAGCTGATGACAAATTCAGCCTAAGTCTGTCTGAGGTAAAATGTTCACTTCTTAGGCTTATATATAGGTTATACTGTGCCCAAAAGACACAAAATTGAGTCAGCACCCCATCAAACTTTTCTGGGCATGTTACTGAACCTTTTTGGTTTGTGTGGTATGGCACTGTTGCTGCTGCCTGCAATGACTAGACTTGCAAAGCTTGTAGCTGTGTTTTAAGTAGCACAACCTCTGCATGAATGAGATTTTGGCAGCAAGCTGATCCATGACAATTTCCATTGCTATGTGGCCGGTAATTACTCTCCCTAGGTGACTGGGACTTAGACTAGTGACAATCTGTTCTGTCCTGGCCCACAGAAAGACATGCTTCAAAACATTATGTTTTGAAATAGAACTCTCGATGGCAAAAGGCTTGAACAAATAAGAAGGCAACGAAGGGGTTGAGGTACACGATGGTGAGATACAAAGAGAGTTGTCTCCACAGATCCGTGAAATGCGAGATGCATGGCTCCTCTTATGTAGGAGTGGCACGGCCAGGATTGTTTCTCTTCACAGGTCAGGGTTTTCTGGCCAATAGTCTTTGTTCAGCCCTTCTCTCACAGTGGGCCTTGCTAGTGCTACCTCTTTGACGTCTAGTGATAACTGTCTTTCTTGGTTGCTAAGCAACTCTTCCAGCTGAATCCCCTCAGGCTGATGATTCTGTTCGCTATCCAAGTCTGCACTGGCCACTGCACTGAGAGATGCTGCAAAAATCATTGCTTGGTGCCTTCACATTCAGATAAAGTTGTTTCAGACTGCTACTCCAGTGTCATTCTCACTCCAGTATGCTTTGTTGCCAGACAAACATTTAATCATAAATGAACTCACTGATTAGAAAATCAATTTATTACTGTTTATTACGATCATATTTTCAAATAGTGTAGTTGCTGAAGTAGTCTCTAATCAAGGAGTGGGTGTATAGAGATAAACATAGTAGCTTTTTGGTAAATTGGAGTACAGCTAGTCCTCAGCTTATGAGTCCAATTGAGCCCAATATTTTTGTTGCTAAGCAAGATAGTTAAGTGAATTTTGCTCTGTTTTAAGACCTCCTATGCCAGTTGTTAAGCGAATCACTGAAGTTTTTGAGTTAGTAACACAGCTGTTAAGTGAATCTGGCTTCCCCACTTTGCTTTTAGAAAGTTACAATCCCTACTGTTCAGCAACATCTTAGGGTAAGAGTCCACACTTTTTGTTTTCTAATTGATTTTTTCCTTTTTCTTCTTTATTTATATAAAAAAATAACAGAAGAAAAATGAAAAGTTCTTCAAATAAAAGCATATTAATCTTGTGAGACCATCACCAATACAAAATACATGGTTTATACATGTCATAAAGTACAGTTCTATGTGTATATGGATTTTACAGACTAAAAAAGACCGAGTATTTTTATGTCACATTTTGAGAAAGAAATAATTCAGTCATATCTGTTTAGAAGCCAGATTCCCATCTGCTTAGACAATAGACTAGCTATCCCATTTGGAAAACTTACACACCAACATTCAAGTGAGAAAACCAGACTGAAGAATTAGAATAAGACAGAAAAGCTATGTGCCTTTAAGATTCTTCGAAAACTGATCCTCTTTCAGGCCATCAAAATAAGCAGAAAAAAACCTAGACACAAACCGTGTTAATTGCTTTATTTTAAAATATGTATCAGCTTCAATCCTACAGGCAAGTGATAGTCAAAATTTTCTCTATAATATGTATTTCTTACATATAAGTTGTCAGTTTTGTTCTAAATTAACCAAAATTCTTATTACAACCTGATCTTCCTCTATCAGTTTTTCAAGATGCTGATAGACAGTATACTCTACTGTATGTTTTTCTCTCTCAACCAAATTTTGTTCCATCTCTTCCATTCAAGGAAGTGGCAAAAGCAAGGTCTTTGATTGATAGCCAAGTTGTCGTTGAAGGAAAGGCAAGAAAGAAAACACCTGAAGTTTCAGACACTGAGCACTTTAATGCTATCAGGATACAGAAAGTCAAACATAATTTTAAATTGAAGAATGTAGGTTATCAGTGTCCCATACATAAAAATTTCCAGAAAAATAATATCTATAAATTGTAGCAAGTACCTAGAGGAAAAACATTTTCTCTTCCAATTCTTTGACTATTTGAGTAGTCACAAAAAATTAGCTAAATCTTCACCTCAAGAGAGTCCTGCTTCATATTCCTTTGGATATAGTTTAACTCTAGAATAAATCATTGCCACTTCATTATCTAAGAAGTTTCCTGAGTTCAGATGTAACAAGAAGTGCGGTTTGTTAAAAGACAGAATCGTTATTTCTGAGCTATTCCTTATAGGTATAAAAGATGGAAAAGAATGAGTCAATGGTTTGGCTCATTCAAAAATAAAAGCCACTGCTTGTTATTTGTATTCCAGAAAATAGGAAAAAGTGACAAGAAGACTAGAAAGTCTAAGGCAGGAAGGGGACAATGATGAAGTACTACTGATTTACTCTGCCTTGATCTTTTTTGTGGGCACAATCACCAGCTATATCTTCACAATCTTTGGGCTCTTTAGCAGGGTCTGCATGCTGAAGCTCCCAATTAGTCCAGAACACATGTCTGCCTCCAGGATATAAAAAGTTCTACAGATAAAGGCTAAGTTCTGCTTTTCTCAGCAGAAAAATATTTTACTCAGAAGCAATATATAACACAACAATATCCATGTGCTAGAAAGGGCAAGGAGCATTTTAGTAAAGCAAAATTCTGGCATTAAAAGAAATAAGAGAGCTGACTTCTCTGCACCTCACTATAAGAAGTCCTTAGGTTTCAGGTCTACTTAGAAGTTACACCTCACAACTATTTTTTTTCCCAGTTTGCAGCCTAAGGCAAGCTTCAAGTCTTAATCCTTATCCATTAGAGGAATGCTGTGAATAAATCCAATAAATTCATGATTAATTATAAATGCATCTAACAGTTACTCATTCTTGCATCAAAGTACTGTTGTTATTTATGACTGTAGTACCCAAATGTTAATATCATGTATTAATAGCTACTCCACTATGTAAATCAAAATTATGTATGAATAATCCCCATACAATTTGAACAACTTTCAGACATATGCTGTAGCAGATTCTGAACCTAGATGAGATTTCTTATAGCTTACCTACTACATTACCTGCATGAAAATGAAAGATCAAAATATTGAGCAAATCCAATTTAAGTAGCAAGAAATGAGAAAGAGCTCTGCTAAAGACTGGAAAGTTGCTGCCAGTCAGAACAGACACAATATGTGGCCAAATGGAGAATTAGACTGATCTGTTTAAAACAGATTCTTATGTTCTTATGGAATGAAGAAATTATAGATTACTATAGTTACTTTTTGAAGCATATTATGTGAGATCAGCCTAGACAAATAACCTGTACGAAATCTGAAAGCAGTAGACAAACAATTGCTTGATTAAACTGAGATACATTGCAGAAACAAGATCTGAAGAGTCTGCTTCTACCCTGTATATGTGTGTGTGTTTGTGTGTGTGTATGCGTGTGTGAGAGAGGAATGAACTAATGAACAAATGAATGAATGCAAGTGAACAAGACTTGGAAATACTTGGATATAGCTTTCTGTTTGGCTATGTAATTATTTCTTTCGATCACCTGTTGTGCAAATCTGTTGTGAGGTTAACTGGGAAAATTTGGACTGAAAAATGTAAACAAATCATCTTCAAATCATCATCTTGAACTTTGTCAAGTTCAAATGAAGACTGCTGTAGTTTCCTCTCTAAGAGAAAAAAATTACTTTCCCCTCAGCCTCCAAGAACATTGCCCTATCTACTATACCTTAATAATTACTTCTGGAAATTTAAATGCCTTTCTTTCAGCATCTCAAGTCCAGGACACTTCTCCCCCACTCCCCAAACACCTCACTCTAAAATGATTTGTGCTAAATATTCCCTTCAAAGTAAAAGAAAACAGGCTCAGGCAAGGCCTGAGTCTCTTCAGTATTTCTTGTTGTCAGGATTTTTCTTGTTGAATAGGCTGACCTTGTTGGCAGAGGAAGACTCTAATTTCACTTTATCCATTAAGGTTTTCTTAATGGCAGCTGGAGAGACTTTCTCCTGGTCAGCTAAGCACTGTAGTTCCCTGTTGAAGACAGAGAGTGGATTAAACAAATCAAAGAACACAGCTCAAGGGGTGTGTGAGAGGGCTTTTTTTTTTTTGCTATGTGCAAGCATACCGTGTCCTGATGCAGGATGCCTCTACAGCATTGATGAGCAATGAGCGGAAACCACCACTCTCTAGGAAGTGGAGAGCATAGATGGTAGCACCTCCTGGTGAGCAAACATTGTCCTTAAGCTGTCCAGGGTGCTGCTCAGAATCCAACAGCATTTTGGCAGCTCCCTATGGTATTAGGTAGACAAGACAAAGGCAACTTAGGTGATAGGAGCAATGTTACTTTAACCTATATTTAGCTGAATCTTTGAGGGAGAAAATGTAAATTATGGCAGACAAGAGTTCCTTAAAACTGCAAATTGGCCATTGAATTAAAAAAAACCTGACCTGTCTCACACATGATTGAATGATCCAATAGTATTTCTGTTTCTCTGTACCGTACTTTCATAGCTGGGTGGTAATAGGGTCCTTCTTTGAATTTCAAACACCAGTTTTTTTAAAAAAATAATTTGACTGTTGAGGTAATTCCCGGTTAGGAGAATGAGCGCATACAGGGAGACGTATTTGAGAGAACTGTTTGAATAATACACACACAGTACACAGATACACTGTACTTTTTTCCTATCAAATATCAGGAAGCAGAGTAGTCAATGACCATTCTGATAATCACAAACTAAGATACTGACCAACAAGGCTTGAGCTCCCAATCGGACCGCTAGCCTACGAGGAAGGCCCATCTTCACTCCTCCATCTGCCAGGGCATCCAGGGCTGTGAATGCCTAGGAAATCAGTAGTTAAAAAGAGAAGTAAACATTCTGGAAGTGGAACATAACAATGCAATGTATTTTTCTGATTAACCTAAATCATGACTATTATCCTTCTCACCTTTCCTATTACCTACTCTATTGGTATCTTATGACTATTATTTGTTGGTTGTATCTTATGATTTATGATTGTATCTTATGATTTATGATTTATCACTTTGTTGCTTATATGTATACTAAGAGTTTATGCATCAGAGACAAATTCCTTATGTGTCCAATCACACTTGGCCAATAAAGAATATTCTGTTTTATTCTAATCAAAGTTCCTCAATCCAGTGCCCTCTAACTGTGCAACAGTTACAATGTCTAGAATTTCCAATTAATACAGACTGAGGCAACTGCTGTATTCCAGAATTTTAACAGTGGTTCTTTGTAGATAGCCTAGAACAGTTTAGAATACATCACCTAGACTAATAGCTCTAATGACATCTAGGAAATCAAGTACTCAGTTATAAAGCCTCATTCTCAAATATTGCAAGCCAATCTGCCTCCTCATAAAATAAGATATAGCATAAAATTAGTTACATTTCTGCATGTAACCATACCCTCGTCCCCACCCAAAATTTTTATATATTTTTTGAAGAATTTACAGCAAAGATATGGCACATACATAAGCAGGTCCACTGCCACTGAGTCCTGTCACAGCATCTATCAAATCTTCTTCCACTTCAGTGCAGAAGCCCACACTTGCCATCAGCTGTTCTAAGAGCTTCCCATCTTCCACTTCTGCATGTGTGCCTGTGGCATAAACAGTGGCCCCTTCCCGCACAATGACTGGTGTATTTGTCATGCATCTCATCACTTTTGGAGTGGGGCAGAAGGCAGAAAGTTTCTTGAGATAAAAATAAGAGGAACAATTGAGAATACCGTACTTAATTCAGAACTTTAAAAAAAAAGATCTGACAAGTGCTCTAGAACATTCATCTGTGCCAGGTTACTGACAGGCAGGGAAGAATCCATGCATGTTCACTTGGTACCCATATAATATCTCTTTATATCTTTAAATGAAATATGGCCTGATGAGGGCAGAGATTTCAGCTAGGAACCTATTCTTCTCCCTAGGCACTTTTCTCTTATTCATATTTCAGAATATCCTTACAGAAGAAGTACTGAAAGTTTTAAAAGCATTGCATCTGCATTCTCCAACTTGGTGTCCTCCAGATGAATTGCAATTCCATTTTCCTAACTGAGGGTTTGATTATTCTAGAAGTTGTAATCCCAGCACATCTGGAGATGCCTAGTACAGAAAACCTAAGTTATACATTACAAACTCCTGTCCAACTGCCCCATTTGCAATTTAAGGAATGTCCATTGATTGGCATATTATATAGGATAATTTATCACAATTTATTATAATTAGGCACATTATGAGAATTCAATAAGAATAATATTAAATGTATACAAATGTAGAACAACTTATGTTAATTTATTCAGGTTGATAACAATTTATTAACTCATAATAATTTAGCAATTCATGCTAATTTATCCAGATTAAGAATCACAATTTCTGATAATTTATCCAGTGCTTAACTTAAGATAAATTATCTGGGATATTAATTATGATTTATGATAATATATAACTTATCCAGGATAATGATTTATGGGAATGTATTAAATTATGGTAATTATCCAGAATAATAATTTATAATTATACCATGATAATTTATTAATTTACGCCTTACTAATTCATGGTAGTTTATCTGGGTAATACTCCTAATAATTTATCCAGGGTAGTAATGATTTATAATATATTAATTCATAATTTATTGACTAATACCCACAATTCATGCTATGGTATAATATTCATAATTTATTACAATTTATACTAATTTAGAATAACTTATGCTATTTTTTCAGGTTGATAAACATAATATATTAATGCCAATTCATGCAGGCTGATAACCAGCTTACTTACAAAGCTATTTACTATATCATCAACCGGAGATTCGTTTCTTCTTTCTATATAAGCAAAGCAATTATTTGTTGCACTATCACCACCCACATTATTAGTTTGTTTTTCAGAAATGTCTGCTATTTGTCCTTCCCTTGCACATCTCTAGGTCCAAGAAACCTAACATAGATGAGTACTGATTCTCACCTTTTCAATTGAGTTGATAGTAACACCAGCAGCACACGAGACTATAATATGTCGATCTTCTATGTCTGAGCCAATTTCATCCAAGATGAAGGGAATTATGGGAGGTTTCACTGCCAGAAACAGGACATCACTGTTTTTAACTGTCTCCTTGTTGCTTATGGTGAAATTTACACCCATTTTCTGGAATTAAGAAGTTGTATAGCAATTGATGAAGCACCTCTTTCTTTGTGCTGAGATTATAACAAGGACATTTGAATTAAGCATGAAACCAGGCAAGCTTGGGCACACATTTATTTTCCTAGAACTACAAAGGCAAAATAAACTTGATAGATTAAAGCCAAAATAATCTCACATCTTGATCTTAAATGGACAAAAAAATGAGGCAAACATAGAGGTTCAACTGTTTGACTACTGGGGCTGGGATGAGATTTTTTGATTGAAATAACTGCAGCAGCTTGTATACAAACTGAGATAGAAAGGAACTTCTTGGGAAGAATCATATATCATATATCATGTTTGGAACGTGTTCAGTATCTAGATGTATATTCAGTTTTAACACTTATGGTAGTACTGTTTTACCATGTGCTATGATGACTCTAGCACAGATAGTCCTCAACTTACAACAGTTCATTTAGTGACCATTCAAAGTTACAACAGCACTGAAAAAAGTGACTTATGACCATTTTTCAGTTACAACTTTGTAGCATCTCCATAATCACATGGTCAAAATTCAGACGCTTGGCAACTGGTTTATACTTATGACCATTGCTGTGTCCCACAGTCATGTGATCACGTTTTCTAACCTTTTGACAAGCAAAGTCAATGGGGAAGCCAGATTTACTTAACAACCAAGTTGTTAACTTAGCAACTGTAGTGATTCACTTAACAATTGTGGCAAGAAAGGTCATAAAATGGGCCAAAATTAACTTAAGAAAGTCTCACTTAGCAACAAAAATTTTGGGCTCTATTATGGTTGTAAGCTGAGGACTACCTGTATATGAAAATTTTATAAATAAATTTTATAATCAAAACCACAATCTCAGACAGTCCACAGTTTAACAAGTCTGGTCTCAACTAAACTCTAGGAATATGATACTCCTGAAGATAGAAACTAAGGATTAAACAATGTATTATGGACATAAATATAACACGTAATTCCTTTAGCAATGTCACCATAAATAATAACAGAAGCAAGGCAGTAATTAAATGTATCAAATCTTCTCCATACATTTATCTATTTGCAACAGAAGACATGCCCTTTAAATAAATAAAAAAGGATTATATCTTCCTCCCAACAAGTATTTCCACACTAGTATCTCATCCTAAAAGTTATTTTTCAAGTGAAAAATCAAAGTATAAGTACACCTTGAGAAACAACGGTAATGGAGCCTGCCCATTATGATCATATGTCATGGCAGTCATTAGGTGAAAGGTGTCACCTAACAAACCCCTCCTCCCATCCCTGCTCTCCCCAGTGAAACATAAAAAGAACATGCGGGTTGCTAAGTGGAGTGTGGGGTGCTTCCTGAGTGGGGGAGGTCTTGGAGCCCTCATACAGGCCCAAGCTTGCCTGCCCAGGCCCTCCAAGGCCTTCCCCATCACTGACACCCCGTGTTCCACTTCCTGTGCCTTGGGTGTTCACATGCCTCCTCCCACTCCCACTGATCCTCCCAGGCCTTAGATCTGATTCCCACCCCACCCACCAGAAAATTTGCCCTTCTCGCTTACCTTTTGAAAAACTGTGAGGCCTTCCAGATTGATTTTCTTTTTTGTGTGGCCACATGGCACAGTTCTGAAAGTAGCTACCATTTTGTCCCTCCCACAAAATGACAGTCACTGCCAAGTTCTGCACACTGCTGCAGAAGCTTTCTGCAACATTCAGAAGCTTCTGCAGCACTAAGGCAGCAAAATAAAGCAATTTCTCTGGTGGCCACCATTTTGTTTTTCCCACAAATGGGTATGGGGCATGATTAGGTGTATTGGGAGGAGGCTCAAGTGCCTGTAGGGTTTCAACGGGTAAGATGGGGGGAGAGCAGGCCTGCTGCAGCCATCATAACTTTGAAATGGAGTCATATATGATTTTGGGTAGTCTATCATAATTTTGAATATCTGTTAAATTGCCTGTTGTACCTTGAGGATCACCTGTATATGTTTTTCTGAGTAACATGTAGCCCTACTATTTTCTCTCAATTTTTCTTTTTTATATGAGTGAAATGTATCCCAATTCTAGAATAGTAATAGAAAAAGTTCTGACTGGGAAGTTTAGTTCCTGTAGACATAAATCAGAGCTAAAAAATCCTAAACTATCTCTGCACATGGATGAAGCATGAAATGCCCATATTCTTATTGGAACTACAAGCCAATATTCTGGTTTACCACTAAACATATGCTGCTCCCTGTTGTTGCTATCCCATCCATTGGATCCCTCTGCTAGTAGTCACAGTTTAAAAAACCTGTACGCTCTGTGGTTGGTGACTAAGATGTATAAACTAGGAATTCAAGTTTATTCATCTTGGAACAAGCCAGACTGGTGCCACAATTTTGTTATTGGCATCAGGATATGGGTTGTTCCAACATAAACCACCGAGTTTCTTGTCAAGCTATGCAAGGAAATCAAACCAAAAAACACCTGATTTATTAGTTGGATTCCCTGCCAGGAGTCATCAGTGACATCAATCAAAGTAGTGTGCACATCATGTATGAAGATTTCAGTATACAAACACAGCTACCAAGAGATTTAGGAGAGTTTTGAGAGCAGAAAAGAGGCATTTTAATATTTCAAATGCTATAACCTACCCTCAAGCCTGATACTGTTGGGAGATCAGTGTCTGGTGAGCTTGCTGTTATCTTGTGGGCAGCCAAAATCCCTAGAAAAATAAATATTATGTTTCATTTTGCTACATCTTATTCAAGTGATGATTCAGTTCTTATTATCAGAGGCACAGTTAGTGTTTTACAGCTCCTCTTAGATGGACTCCTCCAGAGCCGAGAGAGTTCAGATGCAGAGTCCCACCAGGCTGAGAGAAAGGAAAGAGGAAGGTCACCTAGCCATTTCTTCCATGCTATTACAACAATATATGCCATGTCAGGAGTTCCCTTCTCTATTTGAAGTATCATTTTCCCCCTTCCTGCTTGACCCCTTGACTCATAGGGAATTCATTTCCCCTCCCTAATTGCACGAAACCCTTTTTATTTTTATCATAACTGACTGAATAAATCTAGATGACCACTAGAGGACACTAAAGGATCTTTCTTTACTGCCATCTAGTGATCGATTAAATTTGTGCTGCCCAGTTGTGGCAGTTGTCCAATCAGGTTTGTTGGAGCCTGGCATAACCTGCTCTGCCTTCCCTCCTCTGTTTTCATGATATTCTTGCCACTATCATCACATCTCTTCTCAATACACCCATTTTGTTTTTGTTTTTCCATTTTTTTTCAATCTACATATAACAACACATTAACAGTGTGGCATCAGTATACCATACATCTCTCATTGCATTATATTCATATTAATTCATACTTCAATATTTATTTTCAACCTTACTCTGTCCAAATGCCTACCACCATATCAATTAAACATACCTAATAATTCCATTATTCAATTTTCTCATACCTAATAATTCAATTATTCAATTTTCTGTTTTCATTTTATCTTTTTAATGAAAAATTATCATTTGGCAAACAGTGTGGTTCCAGGTTTCACCTCTCAATACAAACATGACCATAGTTACCTATTCATTTTATTTGTTTAATTTCATATTGCATCATCCTTGTCATTATTAAATATTAAGCTTATCTAGTTGTTTTTTCAATCAGTATAATTTTTACTACCTCTTATCTAATTGTAGATTTGTTTTTTTTTAAGTGAAGAGATCCTGAAATTTATTGATACAGTTTTTAAAGTAAAGGAAAATTCTAAACTAAGATAATATATAAGCAGGCAAAGTGCAGAACTACACTCTTGAGAACTTTGTTTTTTAATTCTATGGAAAGTTCTGTGCTGTCATTGCAAAACAATTGCAGTGTTTGCAGTTTTATGACCAGTGAGCTACTCTTCTAGCCTGTAATTATACTATTTCATAAGAAGTTTAAAAAAAAAAACCTCCTAGAAATTAGGAGGGGCTTCTAGGGTTCTGGTTAGTTGATACAAGTATTTAAATGCATCTCGGGTTTTTTAGCATACATATATCTGCTTGTATCTCATTAACATTTTCCCAACAATACTGTAACAAGTTAATCTGGAGAGAGTTGTAATATAGTAACATGAATTCCAAAATACAAAAGGGGATTAGTTTCAAACTTGTATCTAACTGTATTCCAATTAAAGTAGCACTATGTCTTCATTACAATAAGTTCATTAAACAAATACAAAGCATGCTTGAATCAAAGAAAAAATAAAGATCTGAGAGACAAATAGATAGATATGTGACCTGATAAAAATTGAATACCATTTCTAATGCTATTACAAGCACATTACTTGATTACACATGGTTAACTGAATAATACAACTGGCTTGTCTGCACAATATATTAAACCAAAAGCAAACAAACTACCTAGCATCTAACATACTGTGCAAACTTGTAAGAAAATTGCAGAAATAAATATAACACTGATGTACCAGTGAGTTTATTGCAAATCAGTTCCAATTTCTTGCATTTGCTTACCTGCTGCAGTGAAGCCTCTCGCTAAGGAAAAGGCGAGCTGCCCCGCACCGATGAATCCCACACTCATGGTAACAAGTTTCTAGAAGTGACCTAATGGATCCCTGGTATAAACAAAAATTGAGAATATCATCTAAACGTGCCGATGATAGTAATACAATTCTTGCAAATTCCAGAAACGATCTTCAGATTTTGCACTGGATTTAGAGAATGGGTAGATTGTTTATCTGGGATAAAAAAAAAGGTTAGAAGGGCTACTGCAGGATCCCTAACTAACACGCACCCTCAACTTGACATGACAGCTCGTTTAATCTTTTTCCTAACTTGGAGCCGGCTCCACCACCCACCTGCTGCTCTGCTTTTCTTCCTGCCCATCCTACCGTCCCCCGTCCCCTTTGCATCGCGGATCGATGCTTTCCATACTCTTCAGCTTCTCCCCTTACCCAGCTCCCCCCGCCACCACCAAGGCGCGTCTTTATGGAGCCCATTTACCCCCTAGCGAACAAACCTGATACTCCCACGTGTCTCCTTCAGAATCGGGGGGAGGGGGTTGAAGAGAAGCCGTGGCAAAGCCCAGGACAAAGATAATTCCTCAGCCAATCCGAATGAGGGGGTGTGGCTTCCTTGCCTTCTCCTTCAATCAGCTGCCGAGCAAGCGCATCGCCCGCTAGCTATTGGTAAAAGCTTTGTTTGCAGTTGCATCAGTCGACCTTCCACGGAAGCCGCGAAGGACTGATTTCTCCGAGCGGTGCTCAGGCTTTGTTTTTTTTGCCGGTAATGGCTGCTGCATCTTGGGCGTTTCCATACGATACAAATACGGGTTCACGATTGCGCTGCTTCATGGGAATTGTAGTCTCTGGTGGAAAAAAAAAACCTGCTTGAAAAAAATTGATGATAGAAAAATAGTGATACCCCTTAAATGCGGGGACTTGATTTAAAGTGTTTGGAATGAAACTTGCATGGAAATCACATCGTTTGATCTGACAGCAGTATTTTCTAACTGCAATGTTGCTAATTCAACTTTGGGGAAGGGTTGGGACTTCCAGTAAGGTATTTTTAATACTCGCCTTGGGTATATGCAGCATCTTGAAAACTGGAAGAGGAATTTCCAGCTCTCATATAAAGTGAGTTCGTTACGGAACGGTTATTGGAATGATCTGAAATACTCCTTCACGGGTTTCTTGCCACATATGCTGAATTGTTTAGTCTCTTCCCAGCCTCCCCAATCTCTCTATTGAATACACATTTTATTAAGAATTTTAATTACAGTAGTAAAAACTAAAACAAAACTTAAAGAAAATACAATGGAAAGAAAGAATAGAAAATGCAGGAAAAAGGAAAAAAGAAAGGAGTTACCCCGTGATAAGATGGGTAGCCAATAAATTAGGTAAACAAATAAAAATTTAATTAAGAAAAAATAACTGTATAAAGAAGTTTACTCATGAGTTTTTTGGTCTGCTTGTAGTTGTCAGCTCCACTTTCACAGAGCCATTTTCAGTTCACAATACCTCTACAGAACTCCACTAATTCGTAAATACTTCTTAGTCTGACATGAGCCCTAAAAATATTCTCTCTCTCTCTCTCTCTCTCTCTCACACACACACTCTCACACACACACACACACACACACACACACACACACACACACACACAC